ATTTTTAAATTTAATTTCTCAATTTTATTTTTATTTTCCACATAGCTATATATATATTATCATTCTCTATTTCGTCTTTGTTCCTTTTCTAAATTTTCCTAGCTTTTGATATTTCAAAAGGAGAGAGTTAAATATCAATCAAAGAACAAGGCACCTAAAAATGAAGTAAACTGAATCCTCTTCTTGGCCATCTTCTTGACTGATGAAGGCTATTTATCAATTTCATATGGTGTTATGGTATGTTGTTTTTATTTTTAAGTTAGTTTTTAATTCATGGGGAATAGAAATGATTATCACTTTGCAATTTTTATGAAGATTGCGGTCTTTTACAGTTTGTAATATGAGTTTTTGGTTTTGAAATATGGTTTTTAGTTCTGCTAAGAATTTTTTTCCCAATTCATGGCTAATAGGAGCTTATTGTACAAATTTTCATATGAACTTCTAATTTTGTGTTGGGATTTCTTGGTTATATTCATACTTAATTATATAGCTGATAGTTAAGCTAAGAAGGCTCTTAAAATTTTTTTTCTGTTGTAGTTTTTATTCCCAGCTATGTTATCTGCAGAATTACTTATCTGTGTAGCTTTTTTTAGTGTTGATGCATAATTTCAAACTTCCGATAAAAAACAGTATTCCTGCGTGTGTACTATTGCATTCTAAACAATAACTCATGATAGAGTTTTTGTGTGAATAAAGTTTTGAAGAGTTGATGAAGAGATAAAAAAGATACGAAATAAATTTTTTTATTAACATGTTTGGCCGATTAGATTACAAGTTATTACTTATAATATAATCTAATGGTCCTATCACGATCCACGGCCAATCCTAGGATCTGGATAGGCTTAAAACCACAAAAGCCTGTAGTAAGCCAAAAATATACCAAACAAATTTCTTGTTCAATAGAAACAGCCTCAAGCCCAATATCATCAACATACAAATATCATAAGTCTTTGACTCGCTTGGCCCATGGTATCAATATTCAATAATAAATCAATTTTCAATGTTCTCTAGACTTGTATCAATATATTACATAATAGAAACTTTAATAAGTCATCCATCAATGATTTCTAAATTTACTTTACACGATTATTGTAATTGCGAAACAATCTAGGAACTCAAAAATTTTAGAATGTTTATCAGGGTATCTTCTAGGCCTCCAAAGATAGAGACAATAAGTTATTGGAGGACCTGTAACCTGAAAAAAATATTAAGGGAATGATGATCGCCTAAACTCAGTGAGTAAGGTTAGATAATCATCTCACCTCGCACAATCACACAAATGCATATATAAGTCAATCTAGTCATCCAACTAGTCATATGATCATGCAGTTGATCACATTAATGGCATAGCAACAACAATCACAAATATTAGCACCTTCACATAATCATATCAAGTGGAGATTGGTCAATAGCGTAACCAAAACCCCCGACGAGTCATCCTCACACATGGTCTGCCCCCTCATCACGTGTGCACTAGGGAGCCGATTGCCTTACATGGTCGACCGGTCCAATCTCAATTGACCAACGCTCTCAATTTTTTTATATTTTCTTTTCTTTTCCATACCAATAGGAGGTCAACCTGTGATTTTCCATATTATCAATATCATATTCATTAGATGCACATGGGACGCCGATCTCCCCATACATGGCTGATAAGATCATAGACCGTCCTGACAAATCCAACAATGACCCACTTCATTCCAATTCTAAACAAACAAAGCATACATGTAGCACACCACAACTAATCAAACAACATTCAATAGCAACAGAGTGCAGCACAAATAGTAAGTTATGAAGTAATGCATGAATAACATTTAGCCGTGCATGCATAAATGCAAAATGTAGGTGGATGATGTGAATTTTCTAACATTATTCACCAGTAATAGTTTCCATGAATTCCTAATTCAAGCCTTCATCTACTATCGGTTATTAAAATGATTTCATGTCCCCTATAAAGAATTGTATAAAAGGAAATTTTAAGCAATAATTTCTAAACATTGAACCTTTAATGTTAAGTTTCTAATTTACTCTAATTAGCATGATTTATTCGAACTACTTTAATCATTTAACTTATTTTAACCATTATAACTTGTTATATTTATTTTGTTTTTATTCTAATTATTCTACTAAAAGTCCAGCAGCATCTATTGGTTGCGAACTCTAATAAATTATTGTGTGAATAGACTATATTACTCTTAATTTGTCTAAATTATAATAAATTATTGAAGAAGTAAATCAATCACTATTAGTTACACCATTTGTCTGAAAATATAAGTCATTTTTGGGTGCTTATTTTGTCTCAAAATATAATTCATTTTGAGTATTTTAAGGAGTAATAAATTATGTATTTCCAATGTTACCCTTATTTACATTAGATACATAAATACTTTCATAAGTAACTATTGGTTTTGAGATAAATGATAATTTAGTAAATATACCATTGATTTTATTATAATCTAGGAGAATTAATTGTTTTCTTAATTATTATGCAAAAACCTTAAATGATTGTTTCGATGAAGGTTATTTGATAAGTTTGGAGAGTAAAGTGAGGTAGAGAGTGGTTATTTAGTCTTCTGGGAAGAGAGTTTGAGTGAGAGTATGGCTTTTTGAAAGTTATTTAATGGATTAAAAACCCGACTAAACACCTAATTTTAAAAACCGGAATTGGAGTGTAAACATGGTTAAAAATTTTAATTTTCAAAATTATCAATAATTATATTTATAAATCTTTCATGACAAGAGTATTTTCGCAATATTTATATTTAACAGTACCTTCTTCTACCATCAAACCAAACAAAATAATGTTATTAAACATTCATTTAACATATCTTCCCTATAAACACAAAAAAGTCCTTTACCGTACTTTTCCCCTATTATACTTTAATATATCTTACTTTAATGATCCCTCCCTCCCGTCATCCAAATAAAGCATAATCGACTTATATTTTAAAATAAAAAAATATATATACAAAGGGTAAAAATAAAAAAAATAATTTATTATTTATGAAATTCACAAATGTAACAAGTATTTGAGAACATAATACTTTCTCAAATGTGACAAGTATATAGAGACAGCCAGCATAAAAATTTATGGGTCCAATTTTTGAAAAAAATTCAAAGGTTAATTTATTATGGATACATTTTGTTGCTGAAAAGAAATCATGTGTAAAAATACTCGGGAATATAAAATTTTCATATTTAATTGACATATAAACCTTATATTCTTAAAAAAAAAAATAGATTTCTACATTTATGGATATAGAAGTTTTCATATGAATGAAAAATATTGGATTAATTCCGAAGCAAAATTGGTCCGATATTATTCAGTTTCAATCAGAATCAACTGATTTTTGAGTAGAAATAGTCGGTTTTTGACCATTCAAATTGAAAATTTTAAAAACAAATAAGACGGCTTGAAATCATCTTCCTCTTTTTTTTTTTTTTTTTTTTTTTTTTTTTTTTTTTTTTTTTTTTTTTTTTTTTTTTTTTTTTTAGTCTAACGACATGAACTTTTTTTTATGGCTTCTTCACCCTTCTCTCCTTCTTTCTAGTGTATAAGAACTTGATTTTTTTTTTTTTGACCCTCGTTTTCTTTTTCTTTTTATACAATTCCTTCTATTTCTCCTAAGCAAATATATTTAATTTCTCTTTGCCAACTTTCCTTCTATTCACTCTCATTCTTCTAATTATGTTTTTCTTGCCTTAAAGTTCTTTATATCTTCTATTTGTTTCTTTTAATAGCTTCTTTTTAGTTTTTCCTCTCTTTTTTCATCTTCCCAATAACTTATGCAAGCCTCTCTTTCAAAAACAAAAATCATACCTCTATTTCAAATTTCAAGTTAATAATTCTTTTTTTTTTTAGTATTAAAAAGAGATTCGAATCTGCATCTATTGACATGTTATATATACTTACCACCAGGATATAATGTGTAAGGAAACGAAAATTTTAGTCTAATTCTAATAATCCTTAATTACTGCATTTATCTATTTCTTATACAATTAGTATACATTATTTTCTTATTTTTGTAATTCGTTCTTGTCTTGTAATTTTAATTTTTCGATTATAGGACTCTTAAAATGATGTATGTAAAGCATGAAAAATTAATCAATACAGGCACGGCTTCTGAAATTCTTCTATAAACTGTATATATATATATATCAGTATATGATAAAATTTTCTATCAAACTAGGCAAGAAATTTTTTTAACTGAAAATAAAGATAAATAATTATTTAAGAGGCACGTTTTGTGATTAACATGGAAGAGCAATGAAATTTGAAAAAAAAAAGCATATTTTGATAGAAGCTCTCACATTTCTTTTATGATACTACACATTCAAACATCATTTTTTATTTGCAAGTGAATAGAAGATAATTCAAGTGAAGTCCAAATCCACCTGAAGAAAAATTAAAATTAAAATGTTACCTATGAGTTTAGTAAATTTTTATATTCCTTTATAAATCTATTGGTTGCGAACTCTAATTTACTTGATAGGTAAAAAACTCAAGGAGCAAAACAGAGAAAGTTAATATTTATAAGCCCTTCATCTCTTTTAATAATAATAAAAAAAATGAATGAATCATCTCAACCTCAACTTCATAATTGTTGACTTATTAATATATAATTTAATAGTAAATATATATACATAAGTTAATAGTAAATTTATATACGACAAGACAGAATAGATTATTAATACAAATTCAATCACGATTACCATTAAAATATTAAAAAAAAAAGAATTCATTTATCAATTTTTACTTTAAATTGAACAAATAGTTATTTTTTAATTTAATAAATTAAATTAAATTATCAATTTTTAAAATTATAATTTTATATCAATTTAGATTGGTTTGGCGATGTTTTATAAACACTTCTAGGCCATAGCCAAAATAATTGGATTGTAACGAAAAAGTAATATTTTAATTTCTAACCAGAAAAAGGGAAAAGGTGACTAGACCTTTGCATATCCCATTTAATTTAATTAATATATAATTGCGAAAGCATCTGTATCTGCCATATGCTGCATCACAACTCGTTCTCACCTACCCACCGTTCTCTTCTCTGGCTACTAAACCCATAAAGCCACAAGAGGAGTAGCACCCCTGCTCTTATTGTTAATCGTTTTTATCTTTAAAGCTCACAACCCATTTCTCTTTTGAGATAAAAGAAAACAAGAAACCAGAAAGAAAACGATTATGGCTTTTGAGAAGATCAAGGTCGCCAACCCCATCGTTGAGATGGATGGTGAGATTTCTCTCTGATCATTATTGTTGGCTTTGATCTCTCACCATCTGCAGCTGATTTCTTGTTCTTGTTATTCTAAAATAATAGATTTTGATTAGTTGATAGTACTGATATAGATTTTGGAATATTAATGAACATTGGCTTTGAATGATTTTTTTAGCCCGAGTGGATTCATAAAGTTTGTTTTCCAATTAATGTTTTGGATCTTTGCTTTTTACAAGAAAAGTTGGTGGGTCCTCTTTGATATTAAGATCTGGATATTTTTCTTTGGTAAAAACATACAAATGTAAAATTTCTTTTTTTTTTAGCCCGAGTGGATTCATAAAGTTTGTTTTCCAATTAATGTTTTGGATCTTTGCTTTTTACAAGAAAAGTTGGTGGGTCCTCTTTGATATTAAGATCTGGATATTTTTCTTTGGTAAAAACATACAAATGTAAAATTTCTTTACTGTTTTAAAATTTTTACTTATGGATACAAATACTGGAGTTTGGATCTTGTTTAATGGAGATTGACCGGGATGAAATGTTTATTCAAGATCTGGTTTGAAAGTGACTATTACTTTTCAAATCCTAAAGATGATGATCTATGACTATACGTATAGTAGTAAGGTGTTGTTTAATCGTTTGAGTTCTGGGATTTATTGTTTAAATATCAGTTTTGACTTAATAGACCATAGTATTTGTGTAAGTTGTATTTTCTATTGCTCTATTATTTTAAGCAACGTTTTGACTTTAGTTGCATCCATAAGAAAAATCTATGTCAATGAATTCCCATTTTGCTTATGTTCATATAATAAAACATGATATTGATGACTGAAAACTGACAATTTCTGTTTTTATGGGTATTTTAGTTTAATGTTCATGTTCAACTAATTAGGGAGGATTAAGTTATTGTTGGTGTTGTTTCTATGTTCTATTTCATTTTCACTTTTGGCTCTGTAATGCTTGATGGAATGAATTCGGAGTTAGGCTGCACAAAATTCAAATCCTGTTTAGCTCTGAGTTCTTCAGATACATGAATCTAATTTAAGGTAGTAGTTACCAAACTTACCGAAAAAAATTGATGGTCATATGCATAGGAATATATTGGATTTGTCAGATAGGCGAATGATATTATATTTCTTTGCTTAACTTATGTTATATGCAATTTAACATCGTAATACTGTTTTTCCCTCTCATCTTTGTTACCATGATATAGGAGATGAAATGACTCGGGTTTTCTGGAAATCAATCAAGGACAAGGTAACATAACATTGCTTAGGCTTTCTGGTCATAGGTTTTTGCTAGTTGCTTATTTTTGTAATGCGTTTTGAGTACATATGCAGCTTATTTTCCCATTTGTGGAGTTGGACATAAAATACTTTGACCTTGGCCTTCCTCATCGAGATGCCACAGATGATAAGGTTACAGTTGAAAGTGCAGAAGCTACTCTCAAGTGAGTGTATCTATATTCCTTTCTAGTGAAAATTATTCCCCTGACAGTGCAAATGGCTTTTCTCCTTTTAATAAAAATAGATTGAAACCATTTCCTTCTTTTTGCTTATTCATACTTTAATCTGCAATGCTCTATCTTCCCCCATGTTTCTGATTTTGAAAGAACCTGGTTTTTAGTTTGATACTTTTCTTTTTACGAATGATATTTATTGTTCACTGTTCTGCATAATATTTGGTTGGTCATGGAGATAGTTATCTGATGATTTAGTTGAATTTGTTTGGGATTCTGCTGGAGCATCTTTGTTGCCTTGAACCCTGACGTATTGTTTCCATTTTAGGTACAATGTAGCAATCAAGTGTGCAACGATAACTCCAGGTGTGCACTCATTTGATTTATGCACATGAATTCATTGGATTTTATGTGCACAGTAAATATTCTTTTTTCAAAGCACATGAAAAAAAATATTACAATGAGATATGTGATTACAGATGAAGCTCGTGTGAAGGAGTTTAACTTGAAGCAGATGTGGAAGAGTCCAAATGGGACGATTAGGAATATTTTAAATGGTCAGTGAACTTGCAGTTATGAGGTCCTTTGGAATTATTCACTGTTCATCTCCAGATCTCAAACATGGTTAAATATTTGGTTCATATTTTGTTATTGTGGCTTGTATTGTCTCCAGGCACTGTTTTCAGAGAGCCAATCATTTGCAAGAATGTCCCACGGCTTGTCCCAGGTATTTTAGTTTTGCTTATGTTGCAGTTATATAGTTCCAATTATGGATTGGAGTTGACTGATTGATTGTTGCTGTCTCAGGTTGGACAAAGCCAATTTGCATTGGAAGGCATGCTTTTGGTGATCAATATAAAGCAACTGATACAGTTATTAAAGGAGCTGGAAAACTCAAATTAGTGTTTGGTAAATTTTTTTTATTGCTCGTCTTTCATTAAAAGTGTGTTTGTAAATCTCATTTTCTGTTCTGTTGTATAATTGCTGGTTATGATGAGTCTTCGGTTCATGCTGCAGTGCCTGAAGGACAGGATGAGAAGACAGAGTTAGAGGTTTTCAATTTTACTGGTGCTGGTGGGGTGGCATTGTCCATGTACAACACTGATGAGGTTTGATTCTGCAGATTTCTTGATGATTCTCTTAAAAGCCAGGTAGCAGAATAATTATTTTCCTTATTATGTTTATCATGGGAATGCAGTCCATCCGTGCATTTGCTGAGGCTTCCATGAACACTGCATATGAAAAAAAATGGCCACTTTATCTTAGCACAAAAAATACCATCCTTAAGAAGTATGATGGAAGGTATGAACATTAAATCTCATTTTTACTTGTTCAACTTTTAAGCTTCTTGTGATTTTCATGGTCTGTATTTTGTTTATTAAGCTAATAATTGGTTGTATTTGTTTTCAATGAAGATTCAAGGACATCTTCCAGGAAGTCTATGAGGCCAACTGGAAATCAAAGTTTGAGGCTGCTGGGATATGGTCAGTGTCCATGATGTCTGATTTAAGATGATGGAATGGTGTTGTTTATGATGTTTTAATCTAACTTTTATGATTGACTGGCAGGTATGAACATCGGCTTATTGATGATATGGTGGCTTATGCTCTCAAGAGTGAAGGTGGTTATGTATGGGCATGCAAGAACTATGATGGAGATGTGCAGAGTGATTTCTTAGCCCAAGGTACGTGTAATTATCTATTAACAGCCAAATAGGTTAAGCAAACATTTATTTTTTTGAAAGTTTAACTCGTGATCTGCATACTATCTTCATTTTGCTGCTCTAATAGCTGCATGATCTCTAATTTCTGGTTGCATGTCCAATTTTCTTAACAAAAATTGTGCAACTAACCTCTGGTTACAATATTGTAGGTTTTGGATCACTTGGATTGATGACATCTGTACTGGTAAATCTCAGATCAACAGTCATATTTGTTTCGTTTTGAATATTTGCATTGGCATAAGGGTTGTTTATGTTTTTGAATTTGATAGTTTTATAGGGCTTGTTTCTACTTCTGAGATAAAAACTTCCATTTTGTTCAAATCCTTTAAACCACATAACATTGGTCTTACATCTGAATTCTCATGTATTGGTATACTACAGTTTAATAGTGCATAAAATGTATTTTTAAACTATTTTTAGTGAAAATATGGTAAAATTGTTCTGTGAGAATAACATAATGTAGCAAGGGGGAAAACGAGATGGGAGATCAGGGGATAATGAGAGGGGCATGTAAACTTATGGTGCGGAATACTTTCATTCCCCTGTCCTCTTCTGTGTATGCGCGCACACACGTGCACTTGTGTTCTCATCAACTTACCAGTGTCTTATATGGGTTTAGGTTTGCCCAGATGGAAAGACTATTGAAGCAGAGGCAGCCCATGGTACAGTTACCCGACATTACAGGGTTCATCAGAAGGGTGGTGAAACCAGCACCAACAGTATAGCTTCCATCTTTGCTTGGTCACGAGGTCTTGCACACAGGTATTTTATTATATTTTTAATAAACAACCTCCTGGGTTCTTTTTGTACATGTATGGATTAGTGAATGAAAATTGAATCATGTCCTTTTATTGACAGGGCTAAGTTGGACGACAATGCTAGACTCTTGGATTTCACCCAGAAGCTTGAAGCAGCTTGTGTTGGAGTAGTGGAGTCTGGCAAGATGACAAAGGATCTCGCATTGCTTATTCATGGATCCAAGTATGTGCCTATGACACTACGAAGTGTTTTACATGCAGCTCTTTCTAACTCAATTTTCTTCCTGATTTCTTGTTCTACTCCATATGAATGTAATATGCTTGTGCATTCTATAGGCTTAGTCGAGACCAGTATCTGAATACCGAAGAGTTCATTGATGCTGTGGCAGCAGAGCTGGCAGCAAGACTCGGTATCAAAGCATAATTGTACGTGGATACTTAGCTCTGGAATAATTTTGTTCTTTGATGTCTGTCAATTGCTCAATGACTTTCTTATTGTATTCTTTCCCTGCTAAATTGTTTGTTGATTAAGTTAATTTTATCTTGGTTGCAGGATATTGATAGTGGACATGAAGAATGAAGAAAACCGCTTTACTGGGGAAGAAATAAAAAACAGAGGAGAAAAAGAAAGGCAAGGCGCGAGGGCTAAGTTTTTGTTTCTCCTATTTGCTTAAGCAGACTCCTCATATTTGATTAAATTCTATCATTTTCAATTACATTTTTTCCTGGGCACATTAAGCTCTATTTTAATTCAAGATGGTTTTAATTTATTTCCGTTGATTTGTATGCTATAGAATTGGATTTCTCATCATTTCCATATTCTTAATTACTAATCAAGGAAAAGGATTGAAGTGAAAGCTGAAAAAATCTTGACTGACTAGAGACGTTTTGTGAGAAAATAATAGTAAATACCCAGAAATTTAACACTGGTAACAAGAATGAGGAAACAAAATAAAGTTGGAAAACGTAGAGATGGTGTTGGTTTCTTCATTCATTTTCCTTCATGTTTGGATGGAAGAAAAATATAAGGCGGCAATTGAATTATCTATTTCTCTCATTATATTTTCATTGTCTTACAAACGAGGGATTCGTCTTTCATTAACTATAAACCTTTTCCCAAACAAGACCCAGCTAGGGACAGATTCGAGAGTTCGTGCGAGTAGAGAGAGAATGAGAATTGTTTAGATGTGATTTAGTAAATTAAACCATTAATTTTATTTGATTAGAGGTACATTAAGGTTTTCAAAATTGCAGAATTAATACTGTAATAGAAATACAACTTAATTAATAATATGATATAACATATTTAAATGTCATTTTAACTTCGCCTAGGGTATTTTGCAATTTGATTAAAATCTATTGACAAAAAAGGAGAAAGGGATAATGTTATTTTTGGTGTATATATATATATATATATATTCGCCTAGGGTAAATATTTTGCAATTTGATTAAAACTATTGACAAAAAAAAGGAGAAAGGGATTAATGTTATTTTTGGTGTATATATATATATATAATATATATTTTTTTTTTTTTTTTTTTTTTGGTGTTTGTTTGAATGGAAAATTATGGCCCCTGATGACAAACTACCGAAATATTCAATTAGAGTGATTGGGATTCACATATACATGGGACTCCATTAGGGGTGGCCATGGTTCCGATTCCAAAAAATTTAGAATTGAAAATTGATGATTTCAGTTACGGTTTAGAACCGAACGGTTACGATTTTGGTTCAAATTCCTTAAACGATTTCAAAACTGACTGTTCCGGCCGGTTTTCCGGCGAATCGCATAATTGTAAAATAAAAAATTAGAGAACATTTTTTCTTCAAAATTTAAAATTAAAAAATTTGTGAAATAATTTCTAAAAAGAAATACCCTTAAAAAATTAAAAAAATGCTTAAACTTAATTTTTTTTTTAAACAAGGGTTGAACTTAATTTTTTTTTTAAAAAAAAAAGTCTTCAACTTAATTTATTTTTTGTTTAAAAAAGTTGTAACTTTTTTTTTTTTTTTAAAAAAGTTGTAACTTTTTTTTTTTTTTTTCAAAAATTAAGTTACCTATATATTCTCTTGGGGTTTATAGAAATCAAGTGCACGTAGTTCTTATTTATCTTGTACCAATTTCACCTCTTTTACTTTAATTATTATTTCCACCGCCGGTTGATATTCCTGTTGAGGACCCATCGTAAATATCATATAAATCTTCTTTTTTTTATATATATTCTCTTGTGCTCTTAGTTGGGTCATGCTCCGATCATCCGTGCATGATTGTGCTTCTAGTGAATCGGGTGTCATATTAGATTGTGTTTCATCAAATATGTTTCTTCTTTAACTAAAAACTTGTTCAACCACAATAATAGAGATCGAAGCTACTAAAGTTTATTTTGCAATTAGTGAAAGGGTTGAAAATGTATTGTTAGTACGACTCCACCAATCTAGAATTGAAAAATTATTATCTGCAAAACTACTACTAAATTCGAAAGCAGTGGTAAGATAATTATCAAGTTCGAGAAAAGAACCAGATCCCCTAGGTCTTTTTTGTTTTTGTAATAATATACGTTCAGCAACACCAACACTTATCGCTTTAGTTGGGAATGATTGATTATTAAATTGAGAAGAATTAGAAGAAGTAGATGAAATAAAATATTCAACAAATTCAGTATATAATTCTATAATATTTTTTTTCTAACTTTATACAATGCTACATTTATATTAACACTATATTCTACGCTAAGATTTAATATTTCATAATAAAGAGTCAAATATTAAGATAAAATTTCAAATTTACATCTAAGATCAAATGCACAAACAACAAGAAAATAGTGGTATATTTTTAAAATAAGATAACCATTTTTTTTCATTGATAAAACACAATTTTGTAATAAATCATCATTTTCAAATTCTTGAAGTGCACTAACAAATTCTTGAAGTGCACTTACAATATTAATTGCATATAGTCAAAAAAATGAGAATGTGGAATAAATAAATCCCTGCTATTTTATAATGTAGCATCATTAAAAATTTTTAAAATATCTAAAATTTTTGCACAAATCCCCCAATTTTGTGGATATAAATTAATTTCTTCAATATTGTTAGTAACAAAAAAACACAACAATTTTTTATATGAAAAGTACTTGTTTAATAATTCATATGTTGAATTCCAACGAGTTGGGACATCCCTTAAAAAATATTTTGATCTTTTTTTATTTTTCTTACAAAATTTAGCCCAACTTTTCATCACTTGGGGATGTCCCAATAAATATGAAATAGCATCTCTAATTGGAGAAATAAAACATTCAAGAGCTTTTAAACCATTTTGTATACATAAATTTAAAATATGGTTTGCACATCTAATATGAAAAAATTTTCAACCAACATTTGGTTCACAAATTGAGTTAAGTTTAATAATTAATTTAGTGTTGGCAGAGGGATTATCAAATGAAATTGAAAAAAAATTTTTGGTCAATTTATATTCATCTAAAATTGAAATAAACATTTTATAAATATTATTTGCAGCATGTTTATCATCAAAAACACAAAATATAATAATTCTTTTTTGCATTTTCCAATCATCATCAATCCAATAACATATAATACCCATATAAGAATGCATTCGTCAATGATCACTTCAAATATCACAACAAATTGAAACACGAATTTTTATTTCAGAAAATAAAATTCTAACTCTTTTTTTTTTTTTTTTATAAAAAGAAATAATATAAAAGAAATATAATTCATTTACTATTTCTAGCACTTCTTTATTTTTTTTTTTTTTTTATAAAAAGAAATAATAATTCATTTTACAATATTTCTTAGCACTCTTTTAGCAGAAGGATTTAAAACTTTTTGAAAATATTGATTAAAACCCATTTTTTCACCAAAATTAAAAGATTGTAGAGTAGAGAATAATATAGAATAGAGAGAGTAGAGATAATTATGTGTAAGGAAATTGCAAATGGAAAGAAGTATTTATGATAAATAGAAAAATTATTTTTCCACAAATATCCTCAAAACTAGCCTTTATGTAGCCGTTTATAGTTGTTAGGAAGGGTAATTTGAGGATTTCACAAAACCATTTGAAAAATTAAAAAAAAAAGTTACTGGAACCGCCGGTTCGAACCGGTAGAACACTGGTTTTAGCCGTTTAACATAAAATTCAAAATTTGCTTAGAACCGACGGTTTCAACCTTAGATTCTAACCAGCTGGAAAAACCGTCAATTTTGGACGGTTCCGACCGGTTCTTGGAACTGCTGGTTCACGATTCCAAAAATGGTGGAACCAAAACCGGATAGTAGGCCATCGATTCCGGTTCCGGTTCCCACCGGTTCCAGTTCCGGATCTAGTCTGCATTACATCATTGGGCTCCTCTCTAGTAGGAATGCTGTTCTCAGAGAGTCCACGTAAGATATAGAGAATGACAATTCCCTTTTCAGCTTCAGTAAGGTAATAATGGTACCAAGGTCTAAATTTACAATATAGTTAACATGAAAAAGTAGACAATTAAATAATATACATTGTGGAAAATTAGAATATATTTGATGACTGAAAAGGGTGAAGGACTTCTCGGAAAAAAAAAAAAAAAAGAAAAAAGAAAACAAGAAGAAAGAAAACAAAAGGGTGAAGGGTATTTCTGACATTTGACTACAAAAAGAAAAAAAAAAAAATAAAACTTGATCTGGACCGAGTTGTCTATTATTCAATCTAACAATCATGTGGAGTAAAGACAGAGAGCAGCAGTGAGCTACTATTACTAACAAATTGTTACACTGTCAGGTGATCAAAGTCATACACCAACTTATACTAGCTTGAACCATTTATGGCAATTGTCAAATATAATCCAACTAAATGGACTTATAGCAAGTATCGAAAAGATGCCTCCAGGCCAGACCCAAACCTTAGTGCTGCGGCTATGAGTTCCATAAACTTTTCGCATGGTAGGGGCCTTATGTCATGTGAAGAAAGGTAGGGAAAACAATACTTCTGCATCTAATAATTTCTCCAGCACGACAGCAGATAAATAAAAACAGCATGTGTGCTAGTCCAGTTGCATACTAAGAATCGAGTTCATCAGAGAAACAATGCAAGTTCAGTTGCACTCATCCAGTTCTGGCCGAACTGCCCTTGCTCACCACTATGACACTCCGAATGTTTCTACACAAGGTACAGAGAAATTGCTTGACCCTCTCCATCCAAGAAAGCACCTTCAGTGCCTCTGCAAATGAAGAATTTTAGAAATTTCTCAAATACCTCTATATAATTGATTGATTAAGTGCCAAGAGCAATTTTACCAAGAAAAAGCCATAACTGAAGGTAATTAACTTTTGTCTTTAATCTGGAAAAGCTGACTTTCATTGCAAAATCTGAATGCACAATATTAGCAATAAAAATTGATATTAGCTGAATCTGTAATAATAAAATGAGATCAAACAGCAAGTAAATTGAGAACTCTTAAGTTCGACTTGTCTATATGTTGTGTTGTGAATACCCAAAGCACCAAATAATCATTGAGTTTGTTCATCATTTCTAACCATTTAGGACAAGTGATTCAAACATTTTCTTCTGATTTTTAATGAAATAATAAAGGGGTAATTACAAAATAGTCCCTAGGATTCACCCAAATACACTATTTAGTCCCTGCATTATAATTCCATTACACTATAAGGTTCCAACCATTGGTTTTGCTGTTAAGTCACTATGCATTATGTAGTCCTTATGGTTTGGTGAAATGTACTAGTAAGGATCTTAATTTTTATAATTTTACACTATTTCATTCCAAATTATAGTAATTGTTACTAAGGATGTTTTTGATATTTCACAATCACTTAACCGAAAAACTAACGGTTGGATCTTACACTATAACAGAATCATAATAGTGTAATTCTGAAACCAAAGTCCTCACTAGTGTATTTGATAAAAACCTACGGACTATATAGTAATTACCCCAATAATAAAATTCTATCTAGCTAGCATGAGAAGCGACAGCCATCATCAAGACAACCTAAAAAATTAGCACTTAGTTACTTTTACCTGATTCGGGGTTTGACTTCAGAGAAAGACCATATACTGCATATTTGGCATAAGTTAATAGTCTGACCTGCTGTGGGGCACCCAACTTGCTAATGATTGACCTCAGAAGCCCACTGCAATAGAATAACCAAAGAGCTAATTTACCGCAATATAATGATCAAATGTTACAGAAACTTGCTTCATTTGACATGCAATGGTTAATAGAATTGAACTTTTATTCCTCACTCTGTACGTAATATTGCGAGAAAGTCAGGTGGTAGAGATTCCATAAATGAAGATATGTCCTCCATATTTAAGGACTTCAGCTGTTGCTTCAAAATTCTTCTCTCTTCAGTTGACATTCCTTTCCCAAGAGCTGATTTACTGTCAATGAAGTGACACAAGTGCTGTTAGATCTCCAACATGATTATTAATACCTGACAACATAAAATATCAATAGATCTCTATTACAACAGTTGACATGGTCATATCCATTACTCTGAAAGTATATATCATTGTAGCATTAAACCAGAAACTACAGAAGAAAGTCAAGGTTTTCAATTGAACTATACTGTCAATCCAATGTCTCGAACGGTTGAATTAATTAATTCACTTCAATTGCTTCAACTGAACCTGAAGGAGACGAAATGGCTAATCAAAAGTCTAGTTCAGATAGATATGTAATGAAAGGCTACCATACTACAAGAGTGAATGAGTACAGCAAGGAAAGTACTGCTGCTTGTCTGCACACATAAGCTCTAGGACTGAGCACCTTGCTATTCTTGTGTAGTGTTTTTCTCACTTAATGAACTGAACCACCCTCATCTGTCTCAGCAGGAAACACCCCCCACCTTTCCCCCATTTTTCTCTTTTCTTCCTCTCCCTTCCCTCTTTTCTTCTCTTCTTCTTCCCTTGATAAAAGCACTGCTGCCATTGACTAAAGCAACACACAGCACCTGATTTCTCATCAATGGTTGTAAGTTTTCTTTAAGTGGTTATCCATTTGCACATTTTCTACTCTGGTTAATAAATACTTCAGTTGTAAACCTCCTCATAGATGGGTGAAATTGAACACAGTTTCAAAAATATCCAATAAAGAGTAGTAGCTGATAGTATAATTAGAGATCCTTATGGCATTTGAATTGCTCGATTTGCCATTAGTATCGATAGAAACATCAGCCACACCCATCTATGCTAGTAAAGCTATGGGTAATTCTAAATCAGGACAAGCTCTTTCCTGGAGTTTGGGAATGAAAGGGATATGGTGGAAGTGGACTCTTGCGAAGCAGTGCAGATAACACAGAGAGTTAGACACTGACAATCAAAATGGAGGTCTTTCTGCGGCACTTAGGAGCTGCTTAACAGGCAGATCAGAATTCTGCAGCTTGATAGGTTATGTCACAACTGGCTCAGTATACTTGCATGATTGAGTTGGGTGTGCATCATCTTAGCTCACCTCCAGCAGGTACATTGGAAAGCATATATGGGAAATTGATAGGAGTTTCATTTGTGCTTTCTGTTTGCTATATATCATTTCACAGAAAAGCAAGGCCTTGAAAATCTAAACTAAAATTAGAATGAAAGTAAAATAGGTCCTTTTTGCTGAAAAATGTAAACAAGTCAAACCATAAGTTAGCATTGCTATAGTGGATATGCAATTGATCAGTTCAAACAAGAATCAGTGCATTCAACAATTTCTAAAATTAAGGAAAACATCAATAATTGGTGCACATTGTGTGGTGACTTCCAATCTTTCAGTGCACAAAATCTTAATTTGCAGATTAATGTGGATTATCATGGAGATAGAATGATTGAGCTAAAAACAAAAAAAGGTTGATACCATCTTACTAATTCTATCAAACACAAAATACTTACCAAATTGCAGGTATCTAAAAAACATATTTGTATCTAAGCATGCACACAAGTTTGTAAGGTTGTAGATTACTTCAACAACTATCAGGAAATAAAAATGAAATTGAATAAAGAAGAAAACAGCCTGAAGGCAGACAATCAATCAAGTGTTTTCGTGTAAGGAAAAAAAAAAAAACATTTTAAGAAATGTGGATGACTATAAAAAACAGTGACCCAATGCATGAAGCATCTCACATTTGTAGGCTCTAGGGTGGGATGATGTATGCAGCCTTCACCTTGCTTTTGTAGAGAGACTATTTCCGTGGCTTAAACCCATGACCTCCAGATTACAAGTGGAGTAACTTTACAGTTACATCAAAGCCACTCTCAAATATGGACAATTAAAAAACATCAACCAAGCCATTAGTACTAAACTAGTTAGGATTAAATATATGAATTATTTGTTTCAAATATCCGTTCTGATCAAATTAATATTAATGCAAAGCAAAGTATAAGTCGGAAAAAATTTTGAAATACTTTTGTAGAAAATTTTTTGAAGTTGTAAAATAATTTGATATATTCATAAATAGGAAAAAGCACAAAATAGACAACAACAACTAACTAAGGTCTATGATATGAATCTCTATTCTGATTCATAGCTATATCCTCACTAATATTCAAAGATAGTAAATTCTTAGCCCTCCAAGCAATTCTAGGTGGACCTCTTCCCTTTTCAGCATCCTCCACTACCAAAGTATCACATTTGCAAACTGGAGCATGCAAGGATCTACATAATACATAATCATACCATCTCAGGCACCCTTCTCTCATTTTATCTCCAACTTCTGCTACTAGTGCCTTTTGTCTAATGTAACCATTTCTAATCTTATCTAATCTTGTGTCACCATGCATCTATCTCTGCATTGCATCTCCGCAACATTCCTCTTGTAAAAATCTTACGCATTAGGTGCCCAACATTCACTCCCATATAGAGCATTTTTAGTCTCACCACCATCCCAAAGAACTTACGTTTCACCTTATTAGATATCGTCCTATCACACAGTACACCTGTAGTACTCCTCCATTTCATCCATTAAAAAGTTTGCACCATAAGAAAAAATTCCATAAAAATATGAATTTGGTCACAAAATCTTGATCTATGCACAAAGAAAACAAAAATAAATACAAAAGTAAAAATCACCTGTGAATAGTTCTTCCAGTGAAAATGACAGGGAAGTATATGGAGTACTTTCTGACATTAAATCGTTCCCCAAGCTGCTGAATTCGGTATGAGTCCTGAAGAATCAATGCCTTCCAGAGCTGACAGTAGTCCTGCCTAAATCTTTCATCCAACTGCTTGTAGTTTCCATGATCGAGAAGAACTTCATGGTTCATTCAATTCAGAAACATAAGCTTCTTACCTGAATTAGAATTCACTTTAACAGAGTGATGAAGACATACCCAAAGAAAAGCCATTTGGACCTTCTGGAGAAACTAATATGTTACCAGGATGTGGATCTCCATGCACAAAACCATGCACGAATATCATTTCAGCAAAAACTTCTACCAATACTTTAGCTACCTACAATCCAGAATCAATTGCTTTACTCTATCATGACAAAAGTTGGAGATATTCAATTACATGATAAGCTAATAATTACAGCTCTAACAATGTTTAAGGCAGACCCAATCTGCCAAATTGCATGTGACAAGGAATAACTTATTCAGCATTAGTTTTATGAGTTATAGTGATCCACAATAGAGCAGATATCACAGTCATATCACAATACTGTATAAATTTAGGAACAATCTCAATTTTAGGTAAGTATGCTTCATAAATTTGCAGATGCATAACTACAGTGAGCTTCATAAGACCAACCTCTGTAGCATTTATTCCCATGTCCCTCATAAATCCCACGTCATCAACCTGAAACCTAAGGAACATCCTGTTAATGCCACATAACATTCAAGTCAAAAGCCTGGTATATAACTAAAATATGTCAGAAAAATCAACAAAATCTATGAAAGTACACAACCAAGTGCATGAAAAATGTCATACACAAGAACTTCTGTTGTGATTTGTATGATTTAATAATTCTATCAGATAGAAATCAACTGGCTCTGGCTGTGGAAAATTTCGCTCTCGGAGCAGCCAACAGTTCATGGAAGAAAGGATTTCAAAAAATCTATAATAATTATTTGACAGAAAATTTACTCTAAATATAAAAATATATCTTAGCCATTTTACGAAATGCAAAGTTTATACTTCAAGAAACTTAAAGCCAAATTTCCTTTTTTTTCCACGGAAAAAAAATCGAAAGAAGTTTAAACAAATCACTGTTTATTTAATGGTTTGACATTTAAAAAGCACACAGCTGGCAAATTGAAAAATGTTGAAACTCAAAAAACGCAATGCAATTTAGTGAAAAACGAAATCCCTTATTTTTTTACCCTCTTGGCCAGTAGTTTCTGTTAACAAACACAACCATTTTTGCATAAATCTACACCAGGCCTTGGTCAACCCTATCTGCACATATACGTGTTTTTATTGATATAATTGGTATGGGCAAAATCTCTGACGTGTTTTACTGTAAATATTATCACGACATATCGATAATATCTAATAAAGTTCAACTGATAACTAGCCAAATCATTCACTTGACTGTCTCCAGATAAATAATTTTTAACCTAATATCATTATCAACAGTACTTGCTGAATATATTATTCACTATTCAGGATTATGTCAGTCTCCAGTATTGCACACTTATTTTACTAGTTGAACAATTATTAACTAATTTTGGATTTCCTTTTAATATTTATTCCCAGATGTTTTATGTGTAGGCAATATAAACAATAACATCCATACCATGTGAAATGCATAACTCTTTTCAGTCCATCAAAATTCTGGTCAACCCAATCTCAAAAGGAGGAAACCATCGAATACATTGTCTAAGAATCTATATATTTACTCATAAATGCCTAGTTGCTGAATAAATAAGCACTAAACATCTTAACAATTTTCCTTTAGTATTATAAGGATTAGGAAAATTTTATTATATGAAGAAGAACTGACATGTGCTCCGCTTCATAAGTGCCATACATGGATAGTCGAGGGTGCTAAGTGGGTCAGAGGTAGACCTAAAACCACCTAGAGGGAAGTCGTTTCAAAAGGTCTACTACTTCTTGACATTAGTGCAGACTAGCTATGAATGGACTGGAATGCGAACAAAGGATTCATACAACCAACCCCAACTAATTTGAGATTAAGGCTTAGTTATTGTTGTTTTTGTTGAAGAAGAATCCCTTGGAACACAAATTACTTTCAGAATGACATTAACAATTATAGCTGATATATTTTTAAAAAGAATGATTTCAATCAACTTTGAGGAACTTGAACCAGTTAACAATATCCCTAGTCAGTAAAATGTTCTTTACATCCAAATTGAAACATTCCTGCAGGGTCCTATACATACTAAGCCATTGATCATTCTATAATTATGTGACTTTTGGCCCATAACACTTTACCAAAAGGGGAGCAATATCTGTCCATATAAGACCACAGTAACTTTGGAAAGTTCTTATTGGCAATTTGTTTTGAATTAGCAGCCACTAGGAAGACAGAGGAATCCATTTATGATCCCCTGCAACATAAGAATCAATACAAGGCTTCACATTAGCCACATGGAAGTCGGTGCAAAAGAATATCAGGGCCCCAGGACCTCCTAACTTAATACGAGTTGGGAAGCTGTTTTGGAACACCTTCATGATATTTTCCCAGAGGACGATCCTCATCCAGACATTTTGAAGTTAATGGATTCAAGAACAGAGTTGGAAGCTTGTCAAGTTTACCATTTATAACTATTTGGAGTTGTGCCTTTCTAATGCCATAGATGGGTCAGCACCTACAAGTTTCAAGCACTTGAACGAGCAGGCAGCATGTGCTATGTTACATAATAAGATACTACTTTGTCAGTGACCCATACAAGGACAGGACAACTATTACATGATTCATGCTAATCACATGTAAAGCTCTGTAGAATACATAGCCTGTCTAATTCATATCAGAAATAGTGTCTCGATGACCTAGGAACTTGCCCTGATAGATATGTGAAATTTCAGGACATCCCGAAAGTGGTAATTTCAGAGGATTCTCCACAGGATATATCATTAACATTTATTCGTTCCAATATGAGAAATTTATTGGGTCTCAATCTTAGCTTCTCACTCCATCTAGCTCTCAGAGCATCTTAATTTTTCCTTTGGCCTCTCCTTTGACTAGATCCTGATAGTTGGTCTGAGCCTAATCCATCTGATTTAACCTATCACACCCCCAGTAAACATCATCATGGACTTCTTGGCAACTCCACCTATAGTGTTCTGCGAATTTTCTTTTCTGCAACATGTCCAACCATGCATCTAAAAACCTGTTTAACAACAATTTCCACCTCTTCACATTTATTTCTTAGCCATTCAACAGAATCAACAGTGATTTGGTTCTTCAAGAAAGTTGAGCTTTTATCTACACCCAGGTGTCCGGTCATATCCCACAGCAGTCAATCCCTTCGACATCAGAGAGACATTAACTGAATCATGTATCATATCATATCATACAGGCATAATAGAAGTACCTTGTGCCCCTGACAAAATTGCATTGTCAGAACTTGACTTGTTGTCAACTCCTGAAAGCATTTAGAAGTTGGTTAGATTGGAACCACATGTACACAGTTTCTACTATAGAAATATGTTTACCAATTAAAAGAGGTGATAGAATGTAAAAATGGTACATGAAAAGGAAAATCTCAACTATCCTACCCAAAATACATGAGGAACCCTGACCGTCTTCTTATTTTTAAAATTTTTGGCAGTTCTCTCAGAATTTCTTGCTTCCTGTATGAAATCTGCAGACCATGCAAAGTTAAAAAAATATTATCTTTTTGATTTATCTCTGAGAACAATTCAAAAAGATTATTTTCAACATCATGATCATCTAAAATAACTGGAATTTAAGCTAGCAGCTGAAATGATGGCTCATTGTCGTGATGATATGTAACACAAATATCAGAAAATAACACATTAGTAAGTCTCCTCTGCAACACTGGTACTGGTTATTTAGAGAATCACAAACCAAACAATGCCTTTGATTGAAACTTAGCCCTCCAAGATATTTTTACAAAAGAATTTGCATTTGGACTACAATTTAGAAGAATACAAAAGATTTGCAAAAAAATAGTCTTGTTCTTTTCAAAGTCCAAGATGTCTTGTCTAAATACATAGAAGGTCAAAAGGATTCTAGGAGGTATTAACAAGGTATGCTCAAGTTAAATATCATGTATATCGTATATGAGACTTGTACTCCCTCAAGGGAAATTTGTCCAATATTTATCTTTTTTAAGACTTGCTGGAATAGAAAAAAATTATGAACAAGGAAATGTATGTTTTGCTGTATGGCATAACTACCAGAAATTATAGTACTCACCAAGTTCTGAATAAATAGCCTTTGTGAATTCTGACACCAACCAGTCAAACCTATAATCAGGGAAAAACTGTTGACAGAAGATTAAAAGAGGGGAGAGAGCAACTATTTCATGCGCATAGAAGTAAATGAGCAAAACCATAAAAATAACACATTATATTAGGGAAAAATTCTTTTAAAAAAAAATTATGAACGAGTGAATCCTATGAGTTCCATATAGACTACTGCCATTAACTCATACTGATCTCACACTCATTTGGCCCTGATATAGTCATATGAACTAAAATGTTATGCTCCGCCATAAACTAAGTACAGTTGAGACCAATCTGGACATTGTAACACATTTTGGTACGCACGTTAAAGTTCGCAGTTCTCCAGCACTCTGGATCTCTCTGGTACATGATCCGGATCTCCAAAGTCAGCGTACCTATTCTATTACACTGTTTCAAATTGGTTTGCATAACTGAACAAGAAGAAAAGAAAGAATAAGAAGGAGAAAGACTGAAATGTTATTTTAAGTTGGGAACTGTGGCTAGAATATTATAATAAAACAAGTCCCCAAAGTGGGTTGAAATACCTAGATGAGACTTGAGAGGAATTTGTATTTATTGCATAATTTAGAAATTTTAAGAACATTTTTTTCTATATATAATAAGAATATTAACTCAGCCTACGTAAGCCTAGCAAAGCATAACCAGTCCCAAGCCTAGAAAAAGGGGAGGGCTGCGGTAGGTTGATGACCCCAACTAGTTTGGGACTAAGGCTTAGTTGTTGTTGTTGTATATATACTAAGAGTATTATCAAACCTCCCTCAAATAAAATTTTCCGCTTCCAAATATTTATTAAAATTTATTTCAACAGTTAACATCATTAGTTTGTTGAGAGTTCAGATTTAGAAAATTACTTATTCATTGAATTTGAAAAATGTCTACAGGAAAAAAAATATTAAAATAATTATATTAGTTGTAGAAAATTTAAGCTATTAGAAGGCTAGCGACCCAAAAATATCCAATTCACATTCCGTACCAAAATAGCATACCATTTCAGTCTACCTCTAGCCATACCCTATCTAACCCGTGCCACAACCCGAAACGTACCACGTTCCAGGTAACTATGGGACATACTGTAAACAAATTTTGGAACACCAACAATATGTCCAATACACATGTCTACTCTGCAATTTTTACTTTTGGGAAAAAAAGATTAACGAACCAATTAAGTGAAATTAACAAGCAAAATTTAATTGAAATTCAAATTGAATAAAATTCAAATCCAAAGCTCTTAGCCATCATTCCATCACGGTACCAACATCATTTCTTTCTTTCATGCTTAGCCACCATAATCCACCTCCATGACTGCAGTTTGATTCAAGGTCAATGGAAAGAACACCCACCATCACAACCAGAATAATCTACCATAAACAGCCTAACCACCACAATAGACAACAATAATCAACTAACGATTTCTGTAATGAGTAAAAGCCTCTTTTTCTCTTAAAGCGCTCAAAAACTATTTGTAATAAGATATTAGTTACAACTGAAAGGTTGTAACTAATAAAGACCACCTTAAAGGAAAGCCCACATATAGATTTGTCTTCAACCACGACCATACGATCTGCCAATGATAGCAAGCAACTCAGAAATTAACGACCTCCTTGAGAGGTGATTCATGACGAATTAGATGGATCATGGAGTGTTCACAATCCCATCCTCTTGAAGAAGACTGTTTTGATTGTGATTATAAGAATCACCATGGCCAAAACAACCATCACCACTATTCCCACACACAACACAACCCTACCAACATGATGATAAACAAGTGGTCACAATAACTGTTATTACTATCACATACCACCATTATTCCTAATGCAAATAGAACTATCACCAGTCTCACCAATCAAATAGTGCACATCAATTCCTTTAAGACCCCAGTCTAGCCAAAAATCAATTAACATCATAATCAACGTAGGAAATCCTACAACAGTATTTCTAAAAACAAAAGATCAATTTTCTTCGTTTCTTCCAACTCAAAAAAGCATCTTCAAAATTCTAGATTTATTTACATATTTACTGTCCTTCAACCATTGACCCACATAAAGACAATTGAAAGAACATCTACCACAACTTTCTCTGCCAAAAAGCTGGAAAAGATAAATACTCTATAATCATGAAAATTTCCATAATGCAATTTCATATAAGAATGACACCAATATTGTGCAATGAAATAAAATTCTTTGGGAATAGTATCAGGATATTGAGTACACACCCATGCAACAGACTTCGAGATGAATGACATGGTTGTTATGTCGATTTTCATCTGGTGTTCTAGCCCAGGGTATTGTACCTATTTGCATAAAATAAAACAAAAGGAAATTAAGTACTTATTCACGAGTATCCAACATTTTAGTTGGGAGGTGGGAAGTAGAAAAACGAAAAAAAAAAAAATTACATGCACAAATTAGAGAACAGAGCATGGAAGGAAAAGATATAACATATGAGAATTATCTATTAATGCCTCTTGAAGTCACTACTTAATACATACTCCTCTGTCTTACAGATAACAAGGATATTTCATGCATATATGGTTCATAATCATTTGAGACATTGTGCAAATTTCATAACTTTTCGATGAGTTACTTTCTTCTCCAACTGTACTAATTAGGGCAATACTAAGCAGTTCACAAAATCTGTTTTGAGAATCAAAGTAGCCAAGTATGGACAAATATTTTGTAACAAGGAAGAAAAAAGCTGACGGCAAATAATTACAAATTCTGCCTTATGATAGCGACATTCAGAAATACTCCCAAATGCAGATTAGTTCACAAGGTGAAGAAAGTCATATGAATCACACTTTAAGCCTTCCACAAATAAACTACTATCCAAATCTCTACTACCATTCCTTCAAAGGTCAAGATTCTAATCATCAGCTATAACAGGACTAAGTTAAAACAGCACTGCTTGATATCATAGGTTTATTATTTTTATTTTTAAGGAAAAGAAAAAAAAAAATTAAAATGTTACTTGAGAGACAAAAAGTCAAAATAAAAAATAAAAATAAAAAAAATAAAAAAAATAAAAAAAAAAAACCCATGAAATCACCATAAACTGAAGTCACAGGATTGGCTTCTGGTTAACCTGTTCATCATTAAAAGTTTATCTAATTTAATGTCATTCGTAAAATTTGTCTTTGAAGTGAACATTTGCTAATATATGTGGAACACAGTATATAATAACCCAATAACAATAATAATCTATCTGTTTATATCAGTATTATTTCATATTTATTTATTGAAAAAAAAAAAATTAAATAGCCCTTTCCTAAGATTTCAAAAATTATTATAACATAATTGTGAAATTATTATATATTTGGAGATAGACTCTCGTGGCTTAGGTAACTATTAGTCCCAGCTCCGTTTAATCTTTCTTTCATGCTTGCTTTTTAGTGCCTGCCTAATCCCTAAACCAAAAGGTTATAAACATGATTCCCCACCTCCCACCTTTAATTATGGACTGATATGTGGGTTTCCTATGGTTGCAACCTTGACACCTGCAATGACCATCTTCCATGATTACCTTATTGCCAAGTTGCCACTCTCCCACCACCATCATCACTAACATCACCATTGCCACCAACACCATTCATCACCACCACTACTACAACCATTATTGTCCATATTTTTGCACATTTAAAAGCATCATATTTTTTCACATTTAAAAGCATCATATTTTTGCACATTTAAAAGCATCACATTGGTTTCGAACCAGACAATATAAAAACTATGAACTTTTATTTTTCTAATTCAGAAAGGAAAAGTGAAGAGAAAGAAGAAGAACCTCAAAAATCCAAAAGAACCCTTACAATAACAAGCTTTCCATATACTGTAATGGACAAATTCAATTAATATGATCAAGTTTTTCAAATGCATTAGGATGTGAGATGATAGTTCAAATTAGACAGAAGAAAGATGTCAACATATCAAATACAATACTGAACTAGTGAGTTCATAAAAGGCATAAGAAGCAGCAGCTTGACCTTCTTGTTCAATATTGTAAACAAAAAACAATGAGATAGAATGAACACAACGAAGACTAAATAAGGTTCCACTTAAATATCAACCCTGAACAAGTTATCAGAATACTAAGAAGTGTAACTAAATTTAGGGGTCGAAAATATTGAACATGATACGATTACCAGGTTATCAATTCTTTTTTTTTTTTTTTTTTAACCAGAAGCAGCAGAGGATCCACAAGTTGGGACTCTGAATTTGACTCATAAAGTCATATAAGATTTTTTTTTTTTTTTTAATTTTTTACAGGCTTTATAAGATAACCTCCATAAAGTATAGTATACACACAAAACAGTATAAATAACCCTTATAACAGATTGTTAAAACCTAGGCTCTATTTGGCAACAGTTTTTCGTGTTAAAGTCAAAAAGCTACCTCTATTATTTATATTATTCGGTGACATAGTGTTTATACTAGCGGTTAGAGTTTGAGGGAGCGGACTATAAAATGTTACTCCTTTTAATGTTTGATGAAACGCTAGCTAAATAGCTAACTGCTACTAGAACAACTAAGTTTTCCAAACAGACCCTTAAAAAGAAGTTCAAATTAATCATTCCTAAAAGTAACATCTCCATCGAGCAAACCATTAATTTAAGAATAATTTAAACCATATAGCATTTGACTATTGGATATCTATTCATAATTCATACTACAGTTTATGAATTTCAAAAGTGCATATGGCATAAAACACCAAACAATGTCAATAAACACATATAAATACTATGTACATATCAGTGACCTGTCAATAAATCACATATTTTGCAGCATGTAGAATGTGTTACTTGTGTATGTTAACAAATATCTATTTCTATTGAACTACATTGCCATCTGTATTTTGTAAACTTCAGTTTACAAGAGAATCATATGGCTAGCTCTAAGGGGGAAAAATGACAAACAGATTAGTTGAACTACTCACCTTAATTGCTACTTCTTGATTGTCTTTCAGCATGGCATGATGAACTTGAGCAATAGATGCAGCAGCTATTGGTTGTTCATCAAATGACAAAAATCTGCAAATAGGTAAAGAATTTTAAAGTCAATAAAAGATTCTGGCTTTTGACTTACAAACAGTTTTAATAAAAGAGGGTGCACTGTTGTTCTGCAACCACTTTCTTTGTAAGAGCTCATACTAAGAGAATGGAACTTAAGATGTGCGGTTAAGATAAAAATGGAGGAAAAAAAGGCAGAAGAGAAGAAAAAAGAATGCATATCCTTTTCTGGCATCAATAATTTATAGAAGATAGTGAACAACAAAGTTAAACCAACAAACATGAAAAATAAACGAACCAAAAAAAATTTATCAATCAATCCTGATTATATGACCACATTCCCAAAGTGCATAAAAGACAATAGAAATCTATAAGCTAATAGATGGAGCAATAGACTGGGATTTGATTATTAATAAACATAAAGTAATGAGTCTGGGTATATAGAACCCCAATCCAAACAACAACATAATGAAGACAAGCTTACATCTCGGACAAATCCTGACCCAGATTGTTGACTAGCACTTGTTTTATGGCTTTGAAATGACAAGGAGCAGCCTACAGAATTATTGATAAAAAAGTTAGTATCATAGGAAGCAAACCTGCCTGCATGAATATATATATATCAATTGAACAGGAAAATAAATGAACATAAATTAATATAACAGAGAACATTTAGACCTGATCCTGTAATGAAGATAGGGTTGAAGAGTATTCCTTTGGAACTTGGCGTAGTGCAGCAACAAACTGACCAGCTTTCACATAGAAGGCTTTATTGGTTTCACACAATTTCAGCATTCTCTTGGCTGAACGTAGATGAACCTGAATGTCAGAAAAAGACCAAATCTTCACTTAATTGAAGCGAGTAATTTCATCAGACGCAGGAAAATCTTATCTTTTTCCATCTCTTTCATTAAAAATTCAACAGAAATACAGCCATTTTTTGTTAATGTTCAGAGAAGCAAAGTCTCATTAATCACAATGATATACTTTCCTCCAGCATGGAACCTTTACTTCTCACTGTTAATCAAATTCTAAAGGTGCCTTCTTGCAAATACTAGAGTTTCCCTACAGTCCATAATCGAGTTAATAAAAGAGTAGGACATGACTTAAATTAAAATTTGCTAATATCCTATAAACATAAAGTGGATAAGAACGTATACAGGTAGCTAAACCACAACTCCCAGATGCAAATTCGGAATGCAAAACACCAAACAATTGCTTTCTAAAATCACTAGCTTTTTCTTTCTTTCTACAGGTAGCTAAACCACAACTCCCAGATGCAAATTCGGAATGCAAAACACCAAACAATTGCTTTCTAAAATCACTAGCTTTTTCTTTCTTTCTACAGGTAGCTAAACCACAACTCCCAGATGCAAATTCGGAATGCAAAACACCAAACAATTGCTTTCTAAAATCACTAGCTTTTTCTTTCTTTCTACAGGTAGCTAAACCACAACTCCCAGATGCAAATTCGGAATGCAAAACACCAAACAATTGCTTTCTAAAATCACTAGCTTTTTCTTTCTTTCTTAGATAACAATGCAGAAATTATTCAAGTAACTACGAACTACCATCCTAAATTTAGCTTCACTTGAAAACTTAGCTCATGGAGAATGATGTAATAACCACCGCAAAAGAATATTATTTTTTAAGATTTAGGCGAAATTCGAATTCTGAGCTTATTTTTAAATCTCGAAGGAATTGAATATAAATTATATTACTAAAAATGAGCAGAAGCCAATAAACTACAAAGCAACAACAAACCTCGGACAGTTTGCTACGATACTCATCCGAGTCCAACGGCAACCCCCGCAAAGAAAACTTGTAGTCTGCAATGGTGAAAGCAATCTGCCATGGAAGGAAAAGTAATTAAAATGCAACAGCAAGAAATTAACAAGTTGAAGAGAGAGAAGAATCGGACAGTGGAGATTGCGAGAGAGGAACGAAGAACGGCGTGGATGGAAGCCCCAGTTTTCTCGGGAAATTGAACTGGGAATAGTGAAGGGGAAGAAGAATCGAGAGATGAAAATGATCCAAGATTGAGGTTGTTGATGGCCTTGAAGGTGAGGCCAGTGGCCGTTACTAGGAGAAGAGTGGCGGTTCTTCTGGCCTTCACGGGAAACTTAAAAATTTGCTTAGACGCCGTCATATCGGAGAGTCCGTCAGGTATGCTGGCCGCTGATGCCACTACTTCTGGCGGTGACGACTAAGGAGCGGTAGTTCGTCCTTCGGGAGCATATGGGTCGGGTTGATCCGGATGTGAAAAAATGGTTCATCGCTAAAATTTGATTTATTAATGAATTAATTCTTCTTTTTTTATATGAAAATCGGTATTTTTTAACAATAATAATAAAAATCATGTTATTAATTTCATTATTTATGAAAACAATTAGAGAGTTTTATTACCAACTGAAATATTAATGATATTATCATTCAATTTATTGTTTTAAAATAATATTAATAATATTTAGTGTTATATTTATTATTTATTTAAGCTGAATATTAAAAGTCTTGTTTGAAATGCATTAAATTCTAAACAAATACTACCTTCGTCACATAATAATACTTGTCAGGTTTGAGAAAATAATTTTTTCCAAAATACATATCATATTTGTGGTTTAAAAAAGTAATAAATATTTTTTTCTATATTTACCTCTTGTATATAACCAATAATTATTACTTCAACTTGATATTTTTTTAAAGAATTAATATTAAATTATTTTTTTTTTTAAAGATTTTTTTTTAAAGAATTAATATTAAATTAAGAGTAATATAATCAATTTATTCAATAATTTATTGTAACTTAGACAAATTTAATAGTTTTCTTAAAAAGCCTAAAATTTCAAATTTGACAAGTATTATGGAATAGAGGTAATAACATAGAAGTTATTTTTGCAAGGGTCAAATTTTAAATTTAATGTATCAACTTCCTAAAACTTTTTACTTTGATGTCTCGACAGAAAACATTTAAAATTGAATGTTCATATCTATTGAAAATTTTTAATCAAGTGTCGCATGCTGACATGACATGCTCGAATTACAAATAGGAGATGTGGAGTCCAATTGACTTTTTAAAAATGTGCTAATTAGGATCAAATGGTTAGGCCACATCAGAATAAAATGTTAGACATGTGAATAACGATATTTCAATTACTTAATTACCCTTAATATCTTTCGTTGGGAAAGAGAAAGCTGAATCGTCAAAGAATTTCTAGATCTAGAAATTTCTAATTGACTCCCAAAAACAAAAAAGAAAAAAAAAAAAACAAGGAAGCTTTATAATTTTCACAGTCAAAAACGATTTTCGCTACTGAAAAAGGAGCAAGACAAATTCACAAAATGATTGTACTGCTAAGGATAGACGATTTTGAGTTGTAACACAGGTTAGGGCGCATTATTGCATTGCGTTTTTTTTTTTTTTTTTTTTTTTTTTTTTTTTTTTTTTTTTTTTTTTTTTTTTTTTTTCATTTTGCAGTTTGTAACACCAGGATTAGGACCACACCCGCGCATTTTTTATTGCATTGCGCCTTCTTTTTTTTTTTTTTTTCTCTTTTTTTTTTTCTTTTTTTTTTTTTTTCTTTTTTTTTTTTTTTTTTTTGCGTTTTTCTCATCATCTTTTTTTCTTTGATTTGACGAAGGCGAGACGCAGCTTCATTTTAAGTTTTTTCACTCCGGTTGACTATATATTGATCATGCCTATTCGGTAAACTTAAGTACAACATACTTTTGTTTTGTGGCGGTCATATTAATCAATAATATAGATTTTTTCTGTACTACGATCTTAGAAATTAAAGAGAAGGAAAAAACGGAAGATATTACACTCTTTCAAAACAGAGGATAATCAGCATTTTTTTTTCATACTGATAAGCTTTTCCTTGGACATGATTCCTCCTGAGTCTTAGCATGAGAAGCTGGTCTTCGATTTCCTTACATTTAGTATAGAAAATTTTGGCGACTAACTTAATATAATAATTGTTCATTTGATTTTATATTGAGAAGTAATTAATTTATTTTATTGGGAAGCTTGATTTCTTTCATCTTATAGGTTTAAAACTATTTTCTTCTGCCTTTTTCGTCTCATTATGGTTAAAAGAATTTTTTTATTTTCTTTTAATTCTCTATTATATTTTTAGTCCAAGTCTTCCTTAAATAAACTATAATTTCTTTATTTTTTCAATAAAACTAAGAATTATTTTTTTTACGTTTTCCTATATTTGTTTGACACAATGTATACAGACTAATAACCGCATGATATACAGATGTCCATTCAAGTCTTTTCCAACTAAGATCATTCGTATCAAATCGGAATACCTAAGACCGGAGCTTGAAACATTAGAAAGTAAATTAGTCAATTCATCTATTTATGTCTACTCAAGATTGAGCATATCAGCCATTACTGATAACTTTTCTATTTGGGTAATTTCAGCGCTTTCCCACGGTCGACATGATTGAAAGATTTTAATAGAATTCCGAATACTTGATTGTAAACTTTTCTCCTCTCATCTACATGTTTATGAAATTAATCTAAGAAAATTGCACTATAGATTACAATTGCTTATGAAACTTTTTTTTTTTTTTTTTTTTTTTTTTTTTTTTTTTTTTTTTTTTTTTTTTTTTTTGCGTTTTCTCATTTTTCTTTGATTTGAAGCGAGACGCAGCCATTAGAAGTTTTCACCGGTGACTATATGCTATGTATTGTAAACAAGAAATACTTTTGTTGTGGGGTTTTTTATCAATATTAGTTTTTTCTTACTAAGATTTGAAATTAAGGAGAAGGAAAAAGGAAGATATAATTTCAAAACAGAGGAATAGATTTTTTTTTCTTACTGATAAGCTTTTTCCTTGGACAGTTAACCCTTAAGTCTTAGCAGAGAACTGGTTCATTTTACATTTAGTTGAAAATTTTGGCGACTAATTAATATAATAATTGTACTTTGATTTTTATATTGAGAAGTAATTAATTTATTTTGGAAGTTGATTTCTTCATCTTTATTTCTTTCTTTGTCTCTTCGTCATTTTTGAATTTTTATTTTAATTTTTTATATTAGTCAAGTCTTCCTTAATAAATTACTTTTCAAAAAACTAGAATTAATTAGTTCCTATAGTGACTCATGTATAAGACTATAACGATGATATACAGATGTCATTCAAGCTTTCCAACTAAGATCATTGTATCAATGAATATAAGAGGAGTGAAAATTAGAAGCTAAATTAGTCAATTCATTATTTATGTCTACTAAGATTGACATATCAGCCATTACTATATTTTCTATTTGTAATTTCAGCTTTCCACGTCGACACTTGATTGAAAAGTTTTAATAGATTCGAATACTTGATTGTAAACTTTTTCCCGTTGAAATAATAAGAAAATTCTAGAAAGTTATGACACTAAATTTATAATTAACCATTTTTATTATAATTATGTTATGCCTGATAACCATATACGTAACGTGAATATATATTCACTTAATTTATAGTACTTCCTTTGTTCTACCTTAATAGCAATATTTAATTTTTTCATAAGAATAAAAAAAAATTATTAAAACACATTCATTTTTTAAAAATATATGGTAGAATGTCTAAATTGCCTTCTTGAAATTAAAAACTCTCTATTTAATTTTACTATAATATACCTAATAAATATAGGTAACATTAAAAAAAATATATTAATATATTCTCAAAATCCTAAATGAGTACTTAAAATAGAAAAAGGTAAAATACTTATTTATTATTATTAATATGAAACGAAGGGATTGTGATTTTGTTGCATAAGTTTGGCGTCTTCTTCGGCCTCTAGGAGGATGGAGGGATTTCATTGATCAAGACGTTATTGACCTTGATTTTAGTATCGGAGCATAGGAACAAGCTTGGCTCTGGGTTCCAAGACATAACAGACTTGACTCAAGGTACTATAGGTCCCATCCATGGTACCAAGACATAGGATATTCTGTCACAGTTCCAACGTATCAAAAATTAGCTCAATTGGACTATATTTGGACCTCGAACCATCTCTAAGAAGCAAAAGGTTCGCAAACCAAAGACAGTCTATCATTAGGTTTCAAGGCATAATAGGCTTGATCCAAGGCACCATGGGCCCCACCCATGGTACTGAGACGTAGAAAATTTTGTCACCATTTCAATGCATTAAGAATCAAGTTGATCAGACATTGTTTGGGCCTCAAACCAGCCTCTCAAAGCGAAACAGCGTGAATATCATACTAGGCTGCCTAGGTACCTAAGAGCCCCCAAATGGTATCGAGGGCCCCTCAAATGGTACCAACCAGCCCCCAGTCCCTAAACGGTACCGACCAACTGGTACTGGTGGAGAGCCCATCAATACCGACCCAGGGCAGCCAGTCCCTATAAATTCAACACTCCCCTCTCTCATTTGATACCTCTTGTTGCTTGATCAAGCGCTTCTCAAGCATCAACGACTTTCATTCTCCCTTGTTTGAATGATTCTAAAGCATGTAACTCCGGCTTTTGCTCTTTCTCCTTAGTTGAGCCAAAAACTCGTCTTAGTATTCAAAATTTGATCCATTCAGCTTTCAATCACACTTTGGTCCTCCTTAGTCCAAAGCTAATTATTTAATTAAATTAATTAATATAAGACTTAATCGGGTGCCTCGTGTCCACCCTTCATTATTTTGGAGCAAGACTCGATCTCTTTGATCGAGAAGACGAATTGTGGAGCTCCAAAGCCGCACACTCGCGTCACCTGACCTGTAAACCCCGACCAGACCTAGGGTATAATTACTAAACTCATACTTTGTCAATTAAAGCCAAGTCCATCCAGCACCTAATGCATGTTAAGTCTGGTCCGGCTGACGCTCAAGCCTAGTTCATTTGGCACCTTTTAAAGTCAATTCTAAGAATGACACCATATCAAAATCCTACCATCCTAATCGATGGTAGAACTATGTGTACTATGATCTTCATACAAATGAGTTACGACGGTATATCTAGGATTTTAGGTTAAGTAGCGAGCTTCCAACCGAACAAATCGGTCGGGATCTAAGAAAATGTGTCGCATGATCTAGAATCCTTTGCAAACGAAGCTAGAGTCAGGGTCCCCTCCGAATTACACCTTTTACAATTATTTATGCTTTCAATGCTTGGTCCACATCACATATTATTGACATGCATTTTAAAGTATGCTCATGCACTGATAATTTAGCATTCACGCAAATTGATAATTTTGATTACTTAATTAATTTTAAACCATAGATTCTATGAAAAAAGCAGAAACCTAGTCATCAAACCCAATGATTCGAGGCTAGTG